CTGGAGACCACTCCTATTAGAATAGAAATGTTTAATAGAGGTTATCAGCCAGAATAACTTTGCAATGATTTTTCTCTTTGAGGGAAGTCAAGTCAAACCATCTCAGCAAAATGTAATTTTTTGTAAGGTTTATGGATGGCAACTCCTAAATAATTCCTTTCTGTGTTTCAAAATCGTAAAATGTTCCCATCATAACAACTAGATCAATAAGATTTGTTAAGAAACAATTTTTTGTTCTCAGTGTTATCAATATTGTTGTTTAGTTGTTCATTTTTTTTTTAATTCCTTGAATTTACGGTGCACTCAAATAAGCCAGCTGTCATTTATGTATTTATTTACATTTGCAGTAACTGTTTTGTTTAAAGGCCTTTGCTGATAAAATGTGTTTTAGTTAGTTTAACCTATTATATATACATATATATATATATATATATATATATATATAATAGGTTACCAATACAACCACAACTGATCAAATGTTGCAAAAAAAGAGGAAGAAAAGCTTGATAGAAATGCTTGCCAATATACTTCATAGAATATGGAGCAGCAAGTGCATGTGCGAATCATAAAACATTCATTTGTTGATCTCTGAACAGATACTTTTTCATGGTTTGTTTTTTCACACACTTTTTAATGGATTTATGGTGAAGGTGAAGTTTGAAGATTTAGGGGATGTAGTTGTGAGGATGTAGAGAGTGGATGTGTCTGTGAGGGGCTCCCAGCAAAATAAGTTAAAATACACAGAACGCTTCATGTCATTACTAGTAAACAACAAATGCTGGTTATCTTCTTACTTCCTTTTTACTTTGCTTTCGGAAAGAACTGAAATGCCGACCTCTAAAACAGAAAACAGAGCAAGACATGAAGAAGGCTACTTTAAGCGGCAAATTAGCAAGCATGGCAGCTACCGCTAAAGACAATGAGGAGTTTTCCAGAAGTATGCTGACGGAATTGTCGGACAAACAGCGTGAATATCTGAAAGACGTCATGACGGCATTAATTCAGTCATCACTGGCTCCAATGCAGACTTCTATAGATGCTTTCCGCGAAACTGTCAATACTATAGGAAAACGTACTGACGCTTTGGAAACTACCACAAGGGAGAACTTCTCTGTTTTGGGGCAGGCCAAAGCGGCCATCTCCGAACTGAAAGCAGCTAATGACTTGGAAAATCGTTCGCAAAGAGCAAATCTGCATATAGTGAATGTTCCAGAGGGCGCAGAGCATGGAACCAACATAGTCACATTTGTCTCAGAGTTGCCCAAGGAAATCATTGCAAGCAGGTTTTTCAGAAACCACCTGACCTGGAGCGGGCACATCGCACATTAGCACCTAGACGTAGAGAGGGCCTGCCACCTAGACCACTGTGGTGTGTTTTCACCGCTACCAAGACAAGGAGCATGCACTGTGAAGGGCTACACAAAACCAACTGCAGTACAAAGGGAAATTTTTGAGAGTCTACCCTGATCTGAGCCTTTCCAAAAAACGAGCAGCCTTTAAGAAAATTAAAGTGGCCCTTTATGAGAAAGGGATCCAGTTCAGGCTTTTGTATCCTGCACATCTACGAGCCTTGAATGAGGGAAAACATTTCACTTTTCACATGCCAGGTGATGCTCAATCTTTCTGACTAAAGGGTATAGTAATGCTAACCACATAAGAGGTAGAACTGATGGCTAGACATATGTTGAAAATGTACCCTATACGTTTTGCTAAGATTGACTGGTATTGAAAAAATGATATATTTTTATATATATAAAGTAAGAGGATAATGTAATCTTGGGCGGCACGGTGGCGCAGTGGGTAGCACTGTCGCCTCACAGCAAGAATGGCCTGGGTTCAATTCCCGGCCGGGTGACCAGGGTCGTTTCTGTGTGGAGTTTGCCTATTCTCCCCGTGTCTGCGTGGGTTTCCTCCCACAGTCCAAAAACATGCAGTCAAGCCCACTGGACATGCTGAATTGCCCCTAGGTGTGAATGTGTATGTCTGTCTGTCTGCCCTGTGATGGACTGGCGACCTGTCCAGGGTGTATCCTGCCTTCCGCCCAATGACAGCTGGGATAGGCTCCAGCACCCCACCGCGACCCAGAAGGATAAGTGGTTTAGATGATGGATGGATGGATGGATGGATAATGTAATCTTCGTTTATGTTTATAATTAGTATTAAACCACTCAAACTTGTGTATGGGATCTACAAACTGAGGATTGTGAATAATTCTTTTGTATTGCTGGGACACTCGGAAGTGTGAAAATAGTGAAGGGTGTTTTGCTGGATATGTTATAAGAGAATCTCGCAGCTTGCCTTGGCTGAAGAGGCAAACATAGGAAAGTACTATTCAGGGACATTGGTGTTGGAAGTTGATTTTTTTATTTTCAAGTATTGTATGTCTGAGTTTTCGCTCATATCTTTTAGTTTGTATATGCTCAAGGATAGTGGTAATCTAGTATGTCGTAACATATCAACACTTTATTAAGGCTCTTTGTTTTATTTTGTTATGATTAATATATTAGGTTATGGTGAGGCTGGTTGGGAGGCCTTTAGGTTTACATCATGGAATGTAAAGGGACTAAATGGTCCAGTAAAATGAGCAAGGATATTCAGTTACCTTAAAAGCCTGAAAACTGATATTGCGTACTTACAAGAAACACACTTACATAAGGCTGATCACCTTAGATTAAAGAAACCATGGGTAGGTCAGATGTGAAAGCAAGAGGAACAGCTATATTAATACATAAACGCATCCGCTTTTCAGTTTCTCATGTCAGACTTATAAGGGCGTTATATTATTGTATCTGGACTACTGTTTGACACACCAGTGATGTTAGTGAATGTTTACTGTCCCAACTGGGATGATGTGGGGTTTGTATACAATTCATTTCCGCATTACTATATCTGAACTCACACCACCTGATTTTGGGGGGTGACCTTAACTGTGTAATGGACCCAGTTCTAGATTGCTCTAGTTTTAAACCACATAAACCTTCTAAAATGGCCACAGAGCTTTCAGCGTTCATGAATCAAGTAGGATGTGTGGATCCTTGGCGCTTTTTCAATCCTCATAGCAAAGGCTTTTCCTTTTTTTCGCATGTGCACCATTGTTATTCTAGAATAGACTACTTTTTCCTTGACAGAAGTCTTCTTGCTTTTGTACAAAATATTGAGTACTCAGCCATCATACAATCTGATCATGCACCTTTGTTTCTTACTCTTTCACTCTCTTCTAATTGTACAGATCACCCTCTGTGGTGGCTTAACCCCACATTATTGTCAGATGAGACATGTGAACAAATATCAACCTCAGTTGATAACTTTTTAAAATCAAATCTATCAGATGAGGTTTCCCCATCATTATTTTGGGAGACTCTCAAGGCCGTTCTTAGAGGCGAAATAATATCATACTCTGCACATCTAATTAGAGAAAAAAGACAAAAAACTCCAACAGCTTACTCGATCTACAATAGAAATCAATCAACAATATTCTGTTTCTCTCACAGCTGAACTTTATAAAGAAAGAGTAGCACTCCACTTCCTAATCTTCCAATGAAGAGACTGGTAGACTATATTTTGGAATTATCACCTTGCTCAAAAGATTTCATTTCAAAACCTTACTCATTAATTGTATCTACAAACAGCACTACAGTAAAGAGGATAAAGGATAGCTGGGAAAGAGAACTGGGCAAAGATCTTTCCAGTGACGTGTGGAACTGTGCACTGCAGAGAGTGAATGACAGTACCTCTTGTGCTCGACTGGGTCTAATGCAGTTTAAGGTCCTCCATCGTATACACTTAAGCAGGACCAAGATATCCTCATTTTATCCTAACATAAAATGTGTCTCAGATGCCACATTAACATAGCAGATTTGGCATACATGTTCTGGTTGTGCCCCAAATTAACAAACTATTGGTCCAATATATTTAATATTCTTTCCAAAATATGTGGGTTGTCCATGAAGCCGTGTGCTGAAATAGCCATATTTGGGGTCTCTGATCAAAATAAAAACCTAACTTACAGGCAGCATAAAATAATCGCTTTCATTTCGTCATTAGCACATAGACAAATTCTTTTAAACATGAAATCACCCACTCCTCCCAAAGCTGCACAATCATTAAAAGAACTCTTGTCATTCATACATTTGTAAAAGATTAAATATACTATTCAAGGATCCAAAAAAAACTTTTATTATATTTGGGAACCATTGCTTACCTATTTCTCACACATTCAATCACTCCCTACAGAATAATGTATTATTTTTAGTGTGCTTGAGTGCCTGACCTATTACCTCTTCTCCACCCATAAATGTGTCCTGATGTGTTACACTATCCTAATGTGGAGCAGAAACTAATAATTAATATTATAATATTATAAATAATTATAATTAATATTATCTTAAAATTAATATTTGTATTATTGTTGTATTCAATGCCCTATTGATATGCATGTATGTGTGTGTGTGTGTGTGTATATATATATATATATATATAGTTTATTTGTTTTATTATTATTATTATTATTATTATTATTATTATTGTTGTTGTTGTTGTTGTTAGAAATATACATAGAAAGGAAACCAGAAAAAAAGGGGGAAAAAGAAAAAAGTATGTGTTTGTTGTTCATGTATATCATGCTCTTGTACTAATAAAAATAATATTTTTAAAAATTGTTTAAAGGACTCATTCTTGCATGCAGCACACTTTCAAAAATCAGAAGATTCATAAGTCATCACTGTTCTTTTTGAGCCTTATGTGAGCCTTTCTGAGCATCACTGGCAGAACAAACTAAACTACAATATTTTGTGTAAGCTTACCTAAGGAGATCTAGCTTAGCTGTTCTGTTGTTAGCTAGATATTACTATGAGCTGACTAAACTACAAAGTATTTTTCAGTATTCCAAAAAATAGAGGGATAAGTGTAGCAATTACCTACTTAAATAAAAAAAAGCAGTAAAAAAGTAAATATTACAGTTTGGAATTGAGTTTCAAAACAATTTAGTAACTAAAACTTACGTTTTCTGATGGTCACTGACTCTGTTCCTCAGTACTTTTATCTGAAAGAAAAATAGTAAAAGTTGATTGAATGAATGAATGAATGCATAAACAAAAAAAAAGAAAGAAAGAAAGAAAAAAAGAAAGAAAGAAAGAAAGAAACAAACCAGTTTCCATGTCTCCACCCCACATCACATATAATTAGTATAAGATAATCTGAGGTCCAGAAATTTCAATTTTGAATCTTGAGAGGGCTGAGATGTAATGGAAAAAAGTATTTGAAATACATATTCAGAATACAGAAATAGTATCTGTATTCAGCCCATGTTACATTTCAATTTGGCAGTATTCAGAATACCTTAACTATGATGCTCTTGGCGGTGGGGAGATTTAGAGTTAAAAGCCCTGGGTCCAAAACTGGTTTTCAGATTGGGGTTGGTGGCAGACTGGACAGAGCTCTTCAAATAAAACCATCTTTTCTGCAAACCCAGGTCTGCTGACTCTCTGTCTATGGCAAGATCAAAGATTTACATCAGTAGCAAACACGCTTAGCTACACCTGGACAAGGAGTACTTTTATATAGCTTTCATGAGGGTCCCCTGGAGCATTTAGAATATAGTAAGCATACGGTTTTGAAAAATGCAAAAAAAAAAAAGACAGAAAATTTTAACTTAACTTTTGTGAACCCACTGTCAATGATCAAAACTAGACATTCTATCAGGGTGAAGTGGGGGAGGGGGAGGGCTTATGGTATACACACACCTAAACTTGAATAGTGACTGACTTTTTTGTAGTCTTATTTATTCATCCACTGAAGCTCATGTGTAGATGAATTTAGTCTACTCATGAAATGGTTTTGTCATTGTTAGTGATGACATTCCATGTCAGCTTGATATTAAAGCAAAAGGAAGATAAATACTAAGAAATTCTGATATTTTAAAGAATCTGACGCTTATAAATTGTAGGGGTTATAATTTTTGGGACTTAATTTATTAGAGGACAGGCACAGCAGGCACAGAAAAGTTCTATTTTATTTTTAGAACTTTTTTTTATCTGAGCCAAACCAGTCTGTGTAATATACATTAAAAGCTCTGCAGAATTAAAGCATTTATTAACATATAAATGATCAAAAACTTAATTGAATGTTGATCTTAAAAATATTGAATGTAAAGATATGTGTATCATTACACCCCTACAGTATATGGTTCGTTGTAATGATTTGCCTGTCAGCAGAAGGACTTGCCTAACTTTAATTATTGTATAGATGGTGCTTCCCTTAAGAAGGTCAGCTAGCTAGTTAACCACCCTGTTAACAGAGTATCTGTTATTGACAAGGTAGTTGCATCTGCATGAAGATAGAGCCCTAGAAGCATTGCACATGAAAAAACAAATTTTCCACCTAAATGAATGTCAAAGTGTAAAAACTTACCGTTCACAGTCCAAACTAAGCTGTAAAAATGGCCCATTTTCAATTGCTTTGTGATTTTACAAAAACCAACGCATTTACATACAATATATCTGTATTTTCAACATACAGCATAAAGACAGGATGGAAGTGGTCATGTGAAAATAATAAAACAGATGGCAACAAATTTTGTTAGTGATTAGTTAGCTTGACAATTCTTATGCCACTCATCCAACATTACATCACTTAAAATAAAAGAAGATACAGACAGTGCAGACTACAGTGCAGGATTTAGGGTTGTGTACAACCCAGGAGAGCTCAAAGTAGGGGAGATGGTGTACTTCTTAACATTATTCGCCTGACAGCAAGCCTGTTATTAGTACCATGGATGGCTTAAAAATTTTGGGACACTGTGCAAAATGTAAATGAAAACAGAAAGCAATGACGTGCAAATCATTTAAACCCCATATTTAATTAAAAACAATACAAAGACAACATATCAAACATTAAAACTGAGAAATTTAGTTGTTTTTCGAAAAATACAAGGCTGTTTTGCATTTGATGCCAGCAACACATTCCAAAAAGTTGGGACAGGGGCAAAAAAAGGCTGGGGAAGGGGTGCTATGCTAAAAAAAAAATCTGGTGACATGACTGAGTATAAAAGAGCATCTCAGAGAGGCAGAGTCTTTCAGAAGTAAAGGTGGGGAGGGGAGCACCACTTTGTGAAAGACTGCACGTTTCTCAACGTTTCTGCACTATATATAAGCAATATGTGCTGTACTTTTTCTTGTCATAGTACACCTGTTTTTCTTGTTTCTAGTACTCACCTCATACTTTTGTTTAGTAAATTGGTACTGTAACTCAAATTTTTCTGCTTCTAGTTGATGCATCCAATTCCAAAGTTCCTTAACTTTCTCTCTGGAAAAGCATGAAAAAAGAGAAAAAAAACTGAGAGCATTTATGCAGAATTTGTATTACAATATTCAAACTGTTACATAAGCATCTGTATGACTCTTGCCTGAGAGCAGACTCGCTGGCATTCTCTATGTTTAGAGGTTTGCGGCGGTCACTGAGAATCTTCTTTTTTTTCTCCCTCCCTGTCTGTTTCTTCCCACTTTGTCTTTCAGTCTTTAAAATCAAAGAACATCTTTACGTACTACGAAATATAGCAAATGCATAGCAATGCAGTATGTGCCACAAGATTCTACTTGTGCTAGTGATTGGTAAAATATCGCTGCTGTCCAAAGAAAAAAATAAATATTAACTTTACAGGAATAATAATTTTACTTTTAATGTAAACAGATTTTATTTCCAAGCAATGTTGGAGCATTTCTATTGGCCCATTCATCATAAAATTTTCACACAATGTAAAGGACAGCTGGTGTGTTCAAATGATGAAGAAAATTAAAAACTGAAAAAATGGAGATACATGTTTTTCTTTGGACCGCGATGATATACAAAAATGAGATGCAATATTACTAAGGAGTATTTCTTCGTGACTCAGCCTTTGCATTTGCAAAGGCAATTTCCAGTTTTGGATCTATTCTCTGCTATCATGGCTCTGGCACAGCTCTTACTTTCTGCATGTAGCCACCAAAATGCAGACTAGTGAGAGTCTTCTTCTTAGCATCATCTTCTGCCCTCTTCTTTGCCTCCTCTTCCTCTTTGCGAGTTCTCTCCTCCTACAGAAAGAGTTATGTAAATGAATGTAGCTTAAAAATTGGGTGGATGGAGAGCAGAGTCTAGTGCATGCATAATTGTAGAATTACTTCCAGACGTTTTTGTCGTTCCTTCTCACGCTCGCTGCGGATCCTCTGCTGCTCAGCTCTCTCTGAACGTCGTTTCTCCTGAATTATTACAAAAATCTACATTGATCACGTCCTTCACAAGAACAGATTTATTCAGATAAGTAAATATTTATTAACTGTTGTTTTCTTTTTAAAAATCAGAGTTTTGAAATATGCATCTTATTGAAAGCTAGTGATACATCAATCAGATAAAAATGTATAATTAAAATTTATTAAAAAAACAAACTTCACAGTCTGCCAGAAATCATTTTTTAGGAATAGGTTAATGTTGTAGATTGCCTGACTCACAATTCGGTCTTTGAGACTAATAAGCTCCTCTTCCTCCTTCTTACGACTTTCAAAGTGGGCCTCAATCAGAGCTCGCAGCTCATTTAAATCTTTCTCCATACGCTTGCGGTGAATATCCTGATTCAGGACAAAGAGAATGGATATCAGCTCTGTGGTATACTAAACTGCTTAAAAAGTATGACACAAATCATATCACGTTTATGCATTTAAGCTATTGTGAAGCCTGCACTTTACATGACACAAATTAGATACTGTGAAAGCATTCTTTTATCATCACCTTTAAAAAATTTGACTCAAGTTTTTAATCAGGTAATAAAATAATCAAATAAATCCAAGCTCAGCATTATTCTTAAAACTCACATGAACTCTTCAGCAGCAGTCAAGTCAATGAGTAAAAATTACACTTTGCAATATATGTTTCATTTCAAATTCAGTTTCAGCATGTGCATACAAGCCTCTGCAAATCCACATTTTTTAACTAGCCTCTGTAAATTCACATTTTTCTGTAAGACTTACATCAAAATCAACCCTCTCCCCATCTGGAATCTTTGGAGGCACCAAGTTTGACATTATAAAAGGCCTGAAAAATAATGTTCATTCTGTATGAATAAATGCTGAATTAAGAAATATTTATGTTAATACCGCAAATTGTTTAAGTGGACTCACCTGAATTTTGGTTTGATGTTTTCTACTGATGCAAGAAAAAGAAAAAAACATGGATAACTATTATTAGGAAAAAAGGAAGATTAACTTAAATGTTAAAGTTATGTAGTAGGTTTGAATTCTAATGTTCCAAATATTGTCTCTTTCTGTATTTAGTATGGGGCGTGATGTAGACAACTTATTAATGTCAAAATATGTTAATAAACAATTAGGATTTGTGCATTTTTCTGTACAGGCCCTACAAGTAAGATTAAACAGTGAACACCCATTTTATTTTTATTTATTTTTATTATTTTTTTATTTTTAGCCTGTCCGTGTTTATAACATGATGGAGTCTGCATGATTTAACACACATGTTGATTGTTGGACATGTTGGTTCACACTTATTTAAAATGATAAATTAAAACAAGTATGAATATAAGTTGATTGCTATTTTATGAAGGTAAAACATGCATACATATACATACAAATACATAATTTCTATTGTTTTGGACAATTGTCTAATTATGTGTAGTCAGATAAAGCAAACAGATAATATGAAAAAAGACCTCACAAAATATAAAGTTAAAATACTAGTATTACCTCCTCCATCTTCAGCCTCCTCTCTTTCTTCTAAAAGACAGAGTATTAGAAAAGTGTGGGGAAAAATAGAGAATAAAGTCTCAAATAAGGTAGATAGGTTGCTAAGTCTCCTATTCTGATAATGTCTCTGCTGTATCTCACCCTGCATTTGAGTGTTTAATTCCTCTCCACCTTCTTCCTCCCCCAGAGACACCTCCTCCTCATCTTGAGTCTCTTATAATTGGAAATTAATCACAACACTGTCAGTTTGGGTTAGGTAAACATTCTGTTTATAATATGAATGAACAGATATGAATATAGTGAAAGAAAATGAATGATGCACAAATGTCCAATGTATGTCCTAAAACACTGTCCACTCTATAAGACTATAAGTCTCCCAACCCTGATCCTGTACCCTCTATCCTACACATTTGAATGTGTTTCCTTGCTCTAACACCCATTTCAGCTCAGGAAGCTGATTAGTCAAATCAGGTGTGCTGTAGCAGGAAAAATACTAAAATGTGCAGCATATATACATATGTGGATACTCTCCCTATGAACTACTGTTAATAGAAATAACACCAGGCATACAGTTTTTTGAGATGTGAATGTGCAATGTTGTCAGGACATCTACCTTTATCCACTGCAATTTCCTCATGTACATCCTCTGTCGCCTTATCTATTGCATTCTGCTCGTCTGTGGAAAAGTAAAGCTGTTAACTAGCTGGCTTAGTTCTGCAAATGCCATTCTATTTTATATTTAAAAAAACATAGTGTCAGCAAAAATGCTTCAGTTAGCCTTGTACAAATTTGATACTATTAACTTTCATTTATTCTAAGCATTTATTCTATTCTTGTAGTGCTTAGTGCCATTGGCATCATTACCACTTGTAAGAAGGTACACCGATCAGGCATAACATTATGACCACCTCCTTGTTTCTATGCTCGTTGTCCATTTTATCAGCTCCACTTACTATATAGGTGCACTTTGTAGTTCTACAATTACAGACTGTAGTCCATCTGTTTCTCTGCATACTTTGTTAGCCCCCTTTTACCCTGTTCTTCAGTGGTCAGGACCCCCCATGGACCCTCACAGAGCAGGTACTATTTGGGTGGTGGATCATTCTCAGCACTGCAGTAACACTGACGTGGTGGTGGTGTGTTGGTGTGTGTTGTGCTGGTATGAGTGGATCAGACACAGCAGTGCTGCTGGAGTTTTTAAACACAGTGTCCACTCACTGTCCACTCTATTAGACACTCCTACCTTGTCAGTCCACCACCCAAATAGTACCACAGGGTAGTTTCAAACTTTCAGCGTTTCTCTAGTGTTACAGTACAGCAACTTGTGCAAGGACCAGGGCACCTGGCTTTTAGCATTGCCAGTACAATTCTTGAGCACCATGTTCTCAGTGGATTACAAGCTAGTCTGGGTAACATGCTAATAATTTGTCTGGTCTATTACTGTCCATCATTACAGTAAGAAACTATTAAAAGTAGTAGCTACATCTACGTTCTTCTAAGTTACTTCTAATTGGAACATCTAGTAGTTCTATATACCTCCTTTTATGTAACTAGCTAACTCACCAGCATTAAACCACTTAATTTTTAGAAGAAATAATTTTACTTCAGTCTGCTAAATCTTGTGGATGTACTTAGCTAACTAGCTAACTGTACCAGCTGTATTAGATAGTTTTGGGGACATACTTAGCTAGTGTCAGCTAACTAGCTGCTGTATTTAGTAATTTTTGAACATGCTTAACTAAAGAGCTAGCTAACTGTAGCTCTTGTCTTATGTCACTTCATAGGTGTATTTAGCTAGCCAGCTAACTGTGGCTGCTGTATTAGTTTTGTTGTGGATGCAATTAGTTAGCTAGCTAATGTTTCAATTTCAACTCCCAACTGTATGTGGCGTTCATTGTTACACGTTGTTAGAGTGCGATTCTAGTGGGCTTTGCCCCAGTGGAGGTGGGGGTGGGAAGTGGCAGTTAGTTGCATGGTTTTCTTTTTTTAATATTTTATCATCTGATTAGTAAGTTTATTTTACTTCATTTATTTTGTTAAGTATTTGTGTCCTAGTTGCACATCAATCCTATTTGCACAACAGTGCAAATATTTATGGACCACTATTGTAGGTTCTAGATGCATATTTTGTTAGCAGTTTTTAATGCCATTACACAGAAATGTTTAATACAAAAACTTTTAAATTCACTTTCTGCATCATCCCATGAGGGCTGTTTGATTTTCTTAGGAATGCAGACATTTTTCCAACCTGAAACTCCATCTTAAATATTACATAAAAACATTGTACCAGCATCAGATCTTTCCCATGTTCGAGTCAAGTCAAGTCAGGTTTTATTGTCATTTCAGCTATATACAAGTACACAGCGAAACGAAACAACATTCCTTCAGGACCATGGTGCAACACAGAGACACAAGTGTGAGAAAATACAATATACACAGTGCAGACAATACAGTACAATAAATAAATATGAAAAACGTACAATAAATACAAAACAGAACACAGTCAGTGCACAATACTGAGAGTATGTGGAGTTGTGCAAAGGAGGATGTATGACATATTAGCAGCTTAGCAGATAGCTTAGCATATATGACCATAGCAGTCACTGAGGTAGCAACCTAGAACAGCAATACGTAGTGTACAGTGTTTGGTTGATACAGTAATTCTAGCAGTTATCATTGTTAAAGTAAGGTAAAATGTAAGTGAAAGTCAGATATTGTTGTGGAAATAAAATGTGCAAAAATGCAAGTATTTAAGCTGGTGTTCAGGGTCCTGGGGCTATATTACAGAAAATTCTTATCTTTTTGTCTTAAGATCTGACAGGTCAAGATAAGATTTTTCACAAATTTGTATTATAGAAGCAAATCTAATCTTATTTAAGAATCTTATCTTATCTACAGCAGCTTTTCTTATCTCAAGTTAGGAAATCTTAACTTACTCGATTGAAGTTGACAATCAACTGTCGTGTCTGTTACCTAGCAACTGACCAGACATGTGCAGCTGAATCTAGCAAACACGTAATCAAGTTAGCTAACGTTAGCTGCCATTACTGGTGTAAAGAAAGTCTAACAAAACTAAAGCACGGTAAACTGAGAGTTAGCTAAGAATATTGTGTCAGCGCTTCGTGCTGTTAATCAGAGCGTCACCGCTCCCCAGTTTTAGTTTCATTTCCCAAACGCTAAGCTAACGTTATTCCTCCTAATAAACGGACACCGCTCAGCTCATTATTCACCATTATCTCTGTAATAGTGTATCTGACGAGTTTTTATCAACATAACACACGGAGGTAATAAAAGGGGACAGTGGAGATTGTGTCTGCAGCGTCTGGGGCTTTTAAACGCTGTTAGAAAAAAAAAACTCAAGTTCAACTTTTCAGTGTAGATAAATGTAGTGCCATTATGATAACTTAGTTATAGTGAACTATGCTGCCTGTCACTGCATAAAACAATAGAAACAGGCAATTAAAACAGAAGTTAAGACACCTCTGGAGTTGTCTTAAAGTTAAGAAAATATTTAGGATATTTGGCAGCTTAGGATGTTTCTGTAATACCGTTTTCTTATCTGGAAATAAGATAAGATCCCAGATCTTATCTATGTGGGCCACTTCTGGCAAAGATATGGCACTGCTGGCCCATGGTCAGCACTGGCTAACTACATGTGAGCCAAAAGTGGCCCACATATTAAAATACTCATATGGCCCATATGTCTTGGAACAGATCTGGGCCACTTCTGGCAGAAACATGGCAGTGCTGCCACTATTGACACTGGCAAGCTCATTGTCAGCCAAAAGTGGTCCACATATTAAAATGCTTGAATGGCCCACGTCTCAAAACAGATCTGGGCCACTTCTGGCATACATTGCCAGTGCTGATATGAGGTACATGATAATCATTTATATTTTAAACAGGGATTAAAAGGACTTTGGGGGAGCATAATTTACATTCAGATCTTGTTATATGGCACAGTACACTGTAAAAAATCCAATCTAAAATGTTTTAGATTTTGTGACATTTTGTTTGTTATTTCAACAAAGAGAAATACCAGGTTAAAATGCTATTTTTAGTTTATTCAACACAATCTTCCTCAGTACTAGGAACACTGCTACATATTCTAGTTTGAAGTTTAATTCAGATTTAGTTTACAGTGATTTGTAGCTGCCTAAAATTTTGTGTTAATTAAACAACAAAACTGATCTGAGGTTCACTGAACTTTTCTGTCAGGCACTTCACTTATTTTAAAAGAAACAAATCTTTTTCATGGTATAGTAAACATTTTGGACATGTGGGCTCATAAGAGCAGTACCTGAGTAGTACACTGGGCTAAGCATATGCTCATTTATCAGGAAATCGTGAGTTTAAATCCCATCAACACCATAGCCATCAGCAGCTGGTAGTCCAAGAGTGTTAAACACCACCTCTCCCTGAGCTGGCAACCGCATCTGGCTCACTTCTATGCCATCATTCCATGTGGTATGTGGGCTGCATCTAAATGTCGGATGTGGCCCAGGAGCGGGCCACATCAAATGTGCTATCTGGGATTATAGACTTAAGAACTGTTGTTCTGTAATGGCTTCTGTCCTAACTTCAGTCTTAACTGAAGTTGCCATGACAACAAAGCAGATGTCAGAATTTTCTGTAATGCTGAACTGAAGTCTATGAACAGTATTCTAACATGTGTCCTTTTTCTCAAGATGAGTGAGGGTCAGATGAAGAGTGGTGGCTATGGCGTCATCTGTACAGCGATTGGAGCGATATGCAAACTGCAGAGGGTCCAGTGAAGGAGGCAGCTTAGTCTTGATGTGCCTCACTATGAGCCTCTCGAATCACTTCATGATGATGGGTGTGAAGTATATTTAAAAGGAACATTTTTATAGAAGGTCTGTTTTTGCAGGGGTTAGGAATGTTTAAATTAAGGGGCCCCCTGGTCCAAAGCCCCATAGGGAGTAGGCCTCTCACTTTCTCCCTTCTTCTCTTAGTTCCAAATAGATGAGATCATTTTAAAAAGGACCATATGTTCTGTCTCCTGTTTCAACAACAAGTCCAATATATAAGCAGCTAGAATATTCTGTTCGAGAGGGAACATTCATTGAGTCATTGAGGGCAAGACACTGGAGATTTCTTTGGCACAGAGAAAATGGTGATGGCCTTGAAGCATGCTGGAACAATGGCACTGCTTAGCGAGATGTTAAAGATGTCCGTAAGAACTCCTGCTAGCTGGTCTACACACTCCCTGAACACTCTGCCAGGAATATTGTTTGGTCCAGCAGCCTGCGCAGAGTTTTCCTCACATCAGCAGTGGATAGGCACAGTACCTGGTCGCTGGGTGGAGGGGTGGTCTTTCCTGCTGCCACATTATTCTGCGCTTCAAACTGTACTTAGAAGTCATTCAGTGCATCAGGCAAGGAGGCATCACTGTCACAGGATGGATATGATTTCCTGTAGTTGCTGAGGGCCTGAATGCCCTGCCACATGCACCGTGTGTCACCGGTGTTCTGGAAGTGTCCATGGATTCTCTGAGTGTGTGTGTGGTTCACCTCTCTGATAGCTCATGACAGTTTGGTCCTCTCTGTTCTTAGGGCCACTCTGTCACCTGCTGTCGCACGGGCCTTCTGCAGCGTGCACACCTCAGCAGTCATCCACGGCTTCTGAGTTTTGCATGTAGTGATGGTCCTGGAGATA